AGCCGCCGGAGCCCCACCACCACTCCTCCGGGGCTCCGGCGGCTATTTAGAGGGCCAGGGCGGTAGAAGCAATGGGAGGCCCGGACTTTTTAAACAGCCCCCAGAGCCCTGCAGCCCTACCCCAGGGCTCCAGCAGTGGGGCTCTGGTGGCAATTTAAAGGGCCTGTGGCTCCAGCCCATGCTGGGAGCCCCAGGCCCTTTAAATTACCCCCGGGGAAGCTGGGCCACCCTGGTACGGCGCACTGGCTTTTGCCGGTATGCTGTGCCAGGGCTTGGGCCCTCTTAGGCGCGGGGCCCAATTCAGGGGAATTGGTTGAATTGGCCTAAAGCCGGCCCTGGGTGTAAGGATGCCGCCAGCCGAGCCAGTACCTGACCAGCACCGTCCTCCGCGGCTCTCCTCGCACGGAGCAGCCCCTCTGCCACATAGCACCGGCTCCCGCATCCCCCGCAGCGAGTGGGGGGGGGGGCTCCTCGGCCCTTTCCTCTGGGCGGCTACTGGCCAACTAAGAGCGAGCCGACCCGATCCCCACTGCTCCGGCCAGAAGAGACTCGCTACCGCAGGGGTGATGGCCACCAGCTGTGGAGGAGCGAAACTGGGACAAAACCCCCCCGTCGAGCAGCGACGGAGCCGGAGCTCCCTCACCAGAGCCGCCCGCCTCCCCGCGGCGAACACCCCTTAACACAGCCCGAGCGGCGCCTCAGCTAGGCCGTCTCCCGGGAAACGTCGCGCCTTTTGACAGCCCCGCCCACTCCGTTCCCGCTCGCAGCGCGCACGGCGATAAAATGGCCGCCGAGCGCCTATACCAGCTGCGCAGTGGGACCTTCTAGGACGCTCTGACTCCGGCGAACTCTATACCTCTTCCTGCGGGGAGTGAGAAGGGGCGTGGTTTATGCGGCTCTGGTCGCTAAGGGGCGTGGTCCCGGCTCCTGCTCCGACGCTGAAGCCTGGGATCGTTACTAGGGGGCGTGGCAGACGGGGTCTCCGGAAAGTTCCAGAGGGGCGGGAGCAGCCGCCGCTGCGGCTGTGTCAGTGTCAGGCGGTCCCTCCCCCCAGATCGGGTGCAGTGCGGAAGGGGCGCCGCGGCACAGCATCCCTAACATGGCGTCTGCGCGGGAGGAGGTGAGGGGCGCCTGGGGGCCGGCAGGGAGTGGGTCTTGGGGGAGGGCGTAGTGCCCGGGGGGGGGGGCGCAAAGTGCACAGAGGGGCTGGCAGAGGGCACAGAGCCCGGGGGGGGGGGGGTTGCAGGGACTGTGGGGCGACAGCCCAGTGGAGGGCTGGTAGGGGCAGGTCTTGCTCCTGCCTTCGGGCCAGCTGGTTGGGCTCTGTTACCCCTTCCTGGAAGCATGCCCCCCTGTGCCCCAGCATGCCTTGCCCCCGCTCCAGGTGCGCGGGTAGCTCCTTGCGCCCAGCCGGGTGCGCACACGCGAGATCTGGGAGGGCCACACCCCATAGTTCTCTCCTGCGAGCACAATATGGCAAATGAGTGGCCCCCTCCCTGCCCTGTGAGCTGCTGGGCCCTGCAGCCTGCCTGGCTGAGCTACTTCCTGTGTGATTAGGCGTTACCATGTGCTCCCTGAGCTGCCGTTTTAAATGGGTTTAGGCCTGGCTCTGTCCCCACGGGAGTCGGTGTGCCTCCCACCTTCCCCTTACTGCCCCTGCAGCTACTCAGGCTGCCTGCTCCATCACGGGGGGAAGACAAGAAAGTACCTCTGGCTGCCATTGCTCCCAGTGCCTGTCCTTCTTCCCTGTCTGGCCGTGGGAGACCCACAGAGATCAGCTAGGAGCTCGGCCTCCAAGGGGAGTGCTTTGGAAAGGATGGCTCTCCTCTCCCACAGAGGAAATAGAGAAGCAGCTCCCTGAATCTGCTCCAGCCAGGGTACACATTAGCTTGTTCCAGCTGCCTGTGGTCCACCTGGTACATAACCAGTTGGGGATAGCTGGGGTACACTGTGATTCCAGCCACTCCTTCATGGCACCTGCACTGGGCTGTGAAGAAGGAAACATAGGACTGGCTATGCTGACTCTACACCAGGGGTTGGCAAACTTTTTGCCCTGAGAGCCACATCTGAGTATGGAAATTGTATAGCAGGTTACGACTAGGGGTGCAGGCTCTGGGGTGGGGCTGGGGATGAGGGGTTGGGGGTACAGGAGGGGGCTTCGGGCTGGGACCGAGGGGTTCAGAGGGCAGGAGGGGGATCAGGGCTGGGGCAGGAAGTTGGGGGACAGGGATGCAGGCTCCGGACAGCGCTTACCTCAAGCAGCTCCCAGAAGCAGCAGCATGTTCTCCCTCCGGCTCCTATATGGTGGGGCAGCCAGGTGGCTCTGCGCTGCCCTGTCCACAGATACCACCCCTGAAGCGCCTATTAGCTGCAGTTCCCAGCCAATGGGAGCTGCGTGAGTGGCACTTGCGACGGGGGCAGTGTGTGGAGCCCCTTGGCTGCCCCTATGCATAGGAGCCAGAGAAGGGACATGCCACTGCTTCTGGGAGCTGAATGGAGCAGAGCAAGCCCCCGACCCCGCTCCCTGGTGGGAGCTCGAGGGCCGGATTAAAACATCTGGCAGGCCACATGTGGCCTCCGGGCCATGGTTTGCCTACCCCTGCTCTACACTCATTAAGGTAAATCCAATAACTTAGAACCTTTCAAAGCTAGAAACTGGAACTTTGTGCTAGTAGAACGGGGACATTTTCAGCTTTTTCCAGTGGAGGACACAGTGGAATGTAATGGTTGTAACTGCTCTGAAGACAAAAGGCATTGTATTAGTGCTTCACTAAGTTGTATTAACCCGTTGCCCTTTAACCCTCCTCCTGTCCAGCTTCCCATAGATACTTAGCAGCTCATCACCTCGGTGGGAAGGGTCCTCACTCCATCTGCCTCTCCTCTGAGTGCCGTAAAAAGAATGGAGGAACAAAAGGTGTAATTACTTATCTGTAATTCAGTTTCTGTGAAAGTATTGTCCTGCACATGTCTCACTTCTGGCCTCTGCTTCCTGGCATCAAACAAGTGGAATTCCCTTCTCCAAAGACGTTTTTTCTAGGCCCATAGGGGTAGTTGTAGCAGGTAGGAATGTGTGGTCTTGTGCTAATATGGAGCTTAACCATTGCACTTAAACCTTTCCATTCAGTTCCTGACTTGGGGTCTGTCTACACAGGGAAACTTACTGTCATAACTATACTGGTCCAGTTATACTCTACCCTGTTGATGGTCCAAAACTGAATAACTGGATGGGATGGGGGTGACTCTAGGAGGTAAGAATACTACTGGACTCCCCTACTTTGGAAGGAGGATCTGCCAGACAGAGAACAAAGCAGGATTCCTCCCTAGAGGCAGAGTCCAAGCAATAGTTCTTTGTAAATGTATGGAGTGAAGAGCAAGCAGGAAAGGCTGTTTTGCATAAGTCTACAACAGAAACGTCCTTGAAGCAACCAGTAGCCCTGCTTTTCTTTGTCTCAAACAGAATGAACCTGGAGATTTGTTAAGTTTTAGGCCAGCCAGGCCATGGCTACCTGAAATGCAGTCAGCCATTTAGACATGGTCCTCCTAACGATGAGGTTGTGTAAGGAATTGATATCAAAACAATGTCCAGGGGCTTAGCTATGGTCAGTATCGTTTTGCTGCACAGACACTTCTTGAAGACACTGAATGGTCTTCCCCTTTCCACCCAGTTGAGCAGGCGCGGGCAAGACTGAACAATATGCTAAGAAGATGAAGAAAGAAAGCACATAGTTTTGGGTTTGAACTCAAAACACCTTGAGCTGAAGGTTGGTGTGATGCCTTCTGCATGTGCCCAAAATAAAGGGCCAGACCATGGCACCAACATTCTTTAAGGCCCAGCATCCTTTTGGATAGGGTGGATTTGATTTAATCAGGGTTTAAATCACTAGTCAGGAAGACTTAAGACTCGATTGAATTATGGATTTCTACATAAAAGTGCATTCGTGATGGTTGTTATAAACTTAATACATATTCTTCACAACTCAGAGATAGATATAGGTTTCATTTTTAGAAGGTACACACTATACATTTTTTAAGTGATGTTCCTTTCATCCTCTTCAACGCAGCTTCCTCCTGAGAAGGAACACTTCTCATGATGTTGTTTCATCTGGGCAGCCAGGCCTTGCATTTCTTTGTTGCACTGTTTGCATTTTGCATGCATGCCTGTCCTACCCACAAGTAGAGGAACTTCATTAAAATATTCCCAAACTGGGTCTCTCTTACAACCTGCTGCCATTATAGGTTTTCCCTTCCCATGAGAGAATGGTATGGTAGATCTCAAATCAATGAAGGCTACGCTCCGAAAGACCTTAAGACTTCTGGAATATGCTGCTCAAACAGTTTCACTTTTGTTTCTACTGTCTGTCCCTCCCTGCTCACATTTATCTCCAGA